CACACACACACACACACACACACACACACACACACACACACACACACACGGCCTCGTGAAGCCCAGGCTGGTCTCAAACTCTGAAAGTTTCTGATCCTTCTGCCTCCCCCTCCTGAGGGCTAAGATTACAGGGGTGGGTGCACCACCACCTGCACCTGTGTATTTAATTCTAGGGATGAAACCCAGGGCTTCATGTTTGACAGGCAAGCACGCTACCAAATGAGCCCCAGGCCAGCTGTAAAACATCTACAAACTGTAAATCCTGTGAACAGGACCTGGCCACTGGGGTGGGGCTTACGGAGCCTTTCTCTCCAGGTGGAGCTCTTATCTCTGCTGGGAGCAGAGTGACAGCAGACTGGTGTTTACACAGAGGTCACACCTGCCCTGCTTGAAGCCCTCGCCTGCCACCTGCCGGAACTGCTCCCTCCACGTCACTGGCCTATAGTCCCCCTGCGAGTCCTGTAGCTGTCCCCAGGAAAGGAGCCAGTGTCGTTCTGATGCCAGGTTGCAGTCTGAGCAGCGGTGGGCACAGGTTTTTCCATTTGAGATTTTTCACATTTCAAGTGAAGCCCCCAGCAGCCCCGTAGAGTCCAATAATTGACAAGCCCAAGAATCAGAGAACCCCTGGGCAGGTGGTGAGCAGCATAATCAGGAGGCAAACGGGGCAGCCTTATGCCTAAGTCTGTGACTGCCCTGGCCATCATCAACTATTACCTCTACCTGGATGGCTTAGAGGAAGTTCTCAGAGCAACCAGTCACTTGGCTGCCCAGCTGCTCCTGCAGAGCTCATGCATTTGCAGCTGGCTGCACTATCCTGACAGCAGGGGTCTGGCTTGCACCTTTACAATCTGGGCAGGCATTGGGTCCCTGCTCTACTCGGCACCAGAGTGGAAGTATCAGTTCAGAGCAGGGTGGATCAGAACTCAGTTTCTGCAGCTGGCAAGCCCCATGTCCCAGTAAGAGATCATGCCTCATAAAACAAAATGAATATCTCATAAGGAAGGATACCTGAGGCTGACTTCTGTATAGTGTACCTATAAACACATGAAAATACACGTATACTTACACACAGAGAAAAAAATTCAAGGGATGTAGCCAGGCATGGTGGCACAGACCTATAATCTCAGGATCGGGTTCCGACATTGAACCATCCTTGCATTCCAGGAACAAATTAAGGATTAGCAAAATATCTTTTAATATTCTAAATTTAGTTGGCATCTCACCAGGCAGTGGTGGCACACACCTTTAATCCCAGCACTTGGAAGGCAGAGGCAGCTGGATCTCTGTGAGTTTCAGGCTAGCCTGGGCCAAAGATCCAGTTCCAAGACAACCAGGACTACACAGAGTAGTCTTGTGTACAGAGAAATCCTGTCTCAAAAAAAAAAAAAATTAGTTGGCATCTCATTAAGGATTTGTCATCGTTGTCATCATCATCACCATCATCCTCATCATCACCACCATTATCATTGCATGGACGGGGTGTGCATGTGGAAGCCAGAGGAAAATTCTGTGGAGTCGTTTCTTTGTCTCTACTTTTACATACAAGAGTTCTGACAATCAAATTCAGGTTACCAGGGTTGCAAAGCAAACACCTTTACCTGCTAAGCCATATGATTTTGAAGATTTTCACATTAATGTTTATCATGGGACATTTTCTTTTTTTAAAATATTTATTATGTACACAATATTCTGTCTGCAAATATGCCTGAATGCCAGAAAAGGGCCCCATACCTCATTACAGATGGTTGTGAGCCACCTTGTGGTTGCTGGGAATTGAACTCAGACCTTCGGAAGAGCAGCCAGTGCTCTTAACCTCTGAGCCATCTCTCCAGCCACTCATGGGACATTTTCTAGTTTTTTTTTCTGGGGGGGGGGTGGAATGATTTTATTTTATTTATTTTTTT